TGCAGGTGCGAGATGGTTCAATACATCGAATGGTCGTGACAATGGTTTGCAGTGGATCTTTTTTTATTACGAAATCTATGTATTTAGAAATTTGATACCAAGTAGGTGAGTGCCTATGGTTAATGGTTTCTGCGCAGTGAAGAACTCGCGTCTTTCCCCGCAAAGATGTTTGACAAACTGACCCAGCTCACTCATCTGGTTCTGGCCACGAACCACCTGAAGAGCATTACCAGGGGCGCGTTTTACAAACGGACCCAGCACTGCCAGGAGCGGTCTCTGCTTTGTCGCTGCGCACTGGGTTAGAGACGACGCTCGGTACGAGTGGCGTTCAGTTTGTAAAGCTACCGGGTTATTGACATTCACAGTCATCGTCATGGTGTCCTCTTGTGCTCCGAGTTAGCCTGCAGTGTCACTGAGCAGTGAGGTGAGCATTTGCCTTCGTGCATCAGTGAATATTGCATGGAGTGAATTGTGTGCACAATTATAGGTGATTTTGAGCGTTTATAGAAGCTCACGCGTGCTGTGCGGGCTTAGTTCGTGCAGCAACAACAATAGAACAACGCAACAACATCACCACTGAAGAACAAGAGCAACTACTCAAAAAACAACTACCCAAACAGCACCAACAACGCAAAACTTTACTCAAACAGGACTTGGCCACAAATCCCATTGTAGCAGCATCCTACTAAAGACTCAGCCTCTTGTCTCGATGTGGCACCCATAGAGAGGCGAATGCCGGAATTATTTCCACTGATCGAAACACCCCAGCAGAAGAGGACACGAGATCATCACTGAGCACGAATAGCAGATCAGCAGCCTCCGCTTCTTGCTGTAGAGCAGCCTCGACAAGAGAGCGTCGCTCTTCACACGGCGGTGGAGTTCAACACGGGTCCCTATGTGTCGTGTATTAGCGGCGTCGTGTGTTTAACCAATATAAGTTTGTCATGTCCAGTGACTTTTATGTTCGAGTAAAGTCAATCAGTCTTCTTTATCACTGCATATTTCTATTTTTCTGATACATACGTCATGACGAGCAGAAGCAACGGATTGACATTTGTACTCGAGGAAAAATGTAACGCTGAGATTAAAGGGTAAAATATATTTCAAACGCACTTTAAATTGAAAGTATTCACTTGTACATGTTACCATTTTATCAGATCGCTATAAGTAGGATATTCTGCTGCGTTTTCAAGTTGCGTCCCTCCAACAATTATTTTATTTGATCATCACTTTTTGTACAGTATGTTGGTGTTTTGTTTACTATATGTGTGCATATTTGAAAATGTTGCTTGATTATGAATAATCTAATAACCTACAATAATGTGGTTTACATTGACATTCTTGAGGCTATTCATTGTATGAATTAAGTTGTAACAAGGTGTTATTTGCTCGATTATAGCAACACCAATAAGGAGAATCAAACAATGCAAATAAAACATTACAAACGAGAGCAGGTTGGAGTGCTTTTGTGAAGCTGAAGTCCACAATGAAACGTAAAATTCCAATGTGCCTACAACTAGACATGCTGATCCGCGTGAACCGACTCCTAGAGCAGATGGTGCAGACGCATGACTGAGAAGTGCGCAGAGAAGCACTGCGAGTTGCATGCTCGGAATGAAATTGCGAGGCAGAGGAACACGTGGACCAGAGACCAAACTCTTGTAAACGACATCAAACTGATGATAAAAGTAAGCTGGCTTGGTCATGATATAGCGCAAGAGGGGGCTGTGGAATAATCCAGGATGGTCAGTGCACATTGACCACGGTCGATAACTATAGCGGAGTGGCAGCCCATGTAGGGAATGAGCCCGGAAGGACGTCCACCATGGAGATGGAGTAATGACAGCAGCTCGTGTGCAGGCGCGAGGTGAATTCATCCATCGCGTGGTCGTGACTACAGCTTGTAATGGATTGATCATGGTTCGTAATGATTACATATACACGTATTGACATGAAAAGAATATGTTATATGAAGTAGGTGAGAGCCTATTGAAATGTATGTCTACATTCATGCGAGAACTCGTAAATACTTTAATCAATGATGCAATAGATTAACTAGTAAGTAAACTATAAACGCAAATACAGTGATCAGTATTCGCGGCGTATATACAGTACGTTTCAACGAAGCACTTTTAAATGTAATTGGGGTAAAACATTTTGAGGGAAATCATCAGGAAGAGGCAACTAACTCGTGTAAATGTTGGACCACACGTGACTCCTCTCGCGTGCAAGGGGAGGCCGTTGTGAGCCGCCTCTAAACGTCGCCCGTCCCTCGCAGTGTTGGTGCCCAGGGGCAGCTGTGAACTGCAATAGCAAAAGCCTCGCGTCTGTGCCTGCGGGAATCCCCAGCAACGCGCAGTCTCTGTCTTTGCAAGTCAATCAGATCACGAAGCTCGAGCCCGGGGTGTTTGACCACCTGACGGCACTGGTGGAGACACGAGTACAAGCACATGAACATCATTCATAGTTACACAAAAGATGACGTTACATTGTTTTTTGGACATAGTTTACGTGAATATTTGTGACTTTGATAAGGATAATTCTGACTATCTAAATGGCGTTGATTTTACCTGACAGCTGTTTATGATTGTAAACAGATATGACTTCAAATAACGGGGAAGTGTTTTCTTTGAATAACAGATCTTTGTGAACAGGAATTAAGTTTGCTTGAGTTAATACATCTCTGTGAAAGCGAATCAGGGTGTGAGAGGCATGAATGCGAATGGATGATGTCCAATGCACATTGACCATTGTCGATAACTATAGCGGAGTAGCAGGCAAGGGAGATAACGTGTCCCGAAGGACGTCCACCATGGAGATGGAGTAATGACAGCAGCTCGTGTGCAGGTGCGAGGTGGATTAATACATCGCATGGCCGTGACTATGTTTTGCAGTGGATCTGTTTTATTACGTAATCTATGTATTGATAAATTTGATACTAAGTGGGTGAGTGCCTATGGTTAATGGTTTCTGCGCAGTGAAGTACTCGCGTCTTTCACCGTGGGGCTGTTTGACAAACTGACCCAGCTCACTCATCTGGCTCTGGCCACCAACCACCTGAAGAGCGTTCTCTGGAGCGCGTTTTACAAACGATGCCAGTGTAATAAAGGACTCTCTCTCAGATGTCGATCTCCGTTGTCCTTTATTGGGTTCGTAGAATCTCGATACCACGGCGTCTCGCTCAGGGCCCGCGTCCCGCTCGACGACCTCTCCACAGCCTCGGCTGCTCCAATATGCAGTCTCCCTGCTGCTCCAATATGCAGTCTCCCTGCTGCTCCGTCAGGCAATCCTTGCAGCACACCGCTGCTCCACTATCTAGCGTCACTGCTGCCCCGTACACAGCTAGCCTCTCACAGCCCCGTTAGCTCTCTCCGTCTGACACCGATGGCTGACGGTGTCGACGTCTCCCACCGCGTGGCGACCGCGCCACTCTCTCCCTCTTGCCCAGCGTGGCCTCCTCGTGTGTCACTCCGTCTCAACTCCCCCTTCCCCATCCGGTTCTCTCACTAAATCCTCTCACCCATGTGACACTAACTCCACCCACTCCCCACGTGACCCAAACTCCGCCCCACCTCAATCCTTGCTCGCATTACACCAGCACTGCCAGGAACGATCTCTGCTTTGTCGCTTAGCACCGGGTTAGAAACGATGCTCGGTACGAGTGGCGTTCAGTTTGTAAAGCTACCGCGTTATTGACATTCACATTCATCGTCGTAATCATTGTCATGGTGCCCTCTTGTGCTCCGAGTTAGCCTGCAGTGTCACTGTGAGCGTCTGCCTTCGTGCATCAGTGAATATTACATTGAGAGATTTGAGTGAATATTTAGAAGTGACATTGAGCGTTTATAGAAGCTCACGCGTGCTATGCGGGCTTGGTTCGTGCAGCAGCAACAATAAAAGAACAACGCAACAAAATCACCACAACATCCAAACAACATAACACAGCAAAAAACAACTACATGACAAAACAACCACACAACAGCACAACAGAACAAGAGCAACCACGCAAAACAACAACTACCCAAACAGCACCAACAACTCAAACGTTTACTCAAACAGGACTTGGCCACACATCCCATTCTAGTAGCATCCGACTGAAGACAGAATCTGGGGAATCCCATGGACAGGCGATTGCCGGAATTAATTCTACTGATCGAAACACCCCAGCGGGGAGAGCTGTGAGTTGATCGCAGATCAGCAGCCATCCGCCTCTTGCTGTAGAGCAGCCTCTACAAGAGAGCGTCACTCTTCACATGGCAGTGGAGTTCAACACGGGTCCCTAGCTCGCGTTCGTGGCGTCGTGTTCACCTCACATCTCGGCACCTCGCTCCATGCCGTGCCCGCTGTCTTTGCGGTGCAGTACAACGACCCTCACGGTGTTCAGAGCTCGCCTCGCATTCCCTCTGGAACATTTTTACTCGATCAGTAGTGTAGCGATTAGCGCGCTGCCCTTCGAACCGGTTCTGGGCCTCCCCTAGGTCGACTCAGCCTAAAATGAGTACCTGGTATGATGTGTCAATACCGTCGCTAGGGAGACAAAGGAGGCCGGGCTTGTGTTTGCCACCCACCCCCCCCCGTGTGCCGTGCCGGCCTTCATAGGTGCTCGCTAACAGCACTTGCCGCAACAGTCTGGTAAGGTTATATGGGGATCATTGTCTTTGTTGTTGTGTGGTTGTTATTTTTGTGTTTGTTGCCGCACTAACATAAACCCGCACAGCACATGCTAGTTTCTGTAAACGATCAATACCAGCTCTAATTATTTTCAACATTCACTAATTTAATCTTCACGAATGTTCAGTTACACTGCAGACTATCCTGAATCACTAGAGGACACCATAACGACGGTGATAATGACGATGACCGTGGATTTCAATAACGCGGTAGCTTTATCAACTGAACGCTACTCGTGCCGTGCGTCATCTCTATCCCTATTCCCAGCGACAAAGCAGAATCCGTGCCTGGCATCGCTGGCTCTGTTTGTTAAACGCGCCCCTGGGAACGGTCTTCAGCTGGTTGAACTGCAGTTCCAGATGAACGAGCTGGGTCAGTTTATCAAACACCCCAGTGGGGAGAGACGCGAGTTCCTCACTGCGCAGCAACCTCAGACACTCGCTCTCTGCTGTTTCGGAAGACTCTAGCAGAGTGAATGTAAAAACGACTCCAAAGAGCATTGTTTACATTTATTTCACAACATCAAGCTTATGAGCGGATTGGTGTTGTTCAAAACAATATCAAATTAATTATTCAAAGTAAATTTGTCTATCCACTTCTCGATGAAGCGACCATATTTCCTTACGCTGGTGGGGGGAGTGCGACCCCACACCAATTTTAATTATTGAACAACTAAGAGTGGGCTACTTTTCTCGCTTTAGTTGAATAGACAAAGAAAATTAGTCAATGAAATACTGTACACAGGGCTGGAAATGAACTGAAAATCTACAAATAACGCGAGACATTCGTCAAGCGCACTGCCTTAAAGAGAAAATACATCGATGAAACGTTGCAGCCACGTGCATATACGAGACGTGAAGAAGGACGATCGCTTGAAATGTCACCCATTATATATTTTCCGTTTTGGCAGCGTGTGTGTGTGTGTTGAGTTTGTTTTGTTATCTGTGCTTGCGTACCACTGCTTGCAAAGGCGGTATCCACAAATAATTTGTAAAGTTACACGAGGCGTCGTCAAGTCGACTTAGGCTGACTTCAGGAACACAATCAGACCGAATGAATGCAGCGCCTGACCTAGCTGGTGAGTCTACGGGAGCTTTACCTCGGTGATAACAAATTTACGGAGTTGCCCGCAGGCGTAGGGAAGTTGACGACACTGACTCACTTAGGTCTGGACCTAAACCAGTTGAAGAGCATTGCCTGGAGACTGGGTCGCTCTTCCCATTGTGTGCTGTTCACACGTGGCTTGAGCCGAACTCGGACAAAGCGCTCAGCGTGCTCAATGCCCCGGGTCACCATCGAGGAGTAACAGATTAAGGTGCAGCCCTGCCTGGCTCACGCCATTGATGTCAGAAGGGCCTCCACTGGAGGGAGCTCTAGAGAGCGCCTCTGAAGGACGTCTTGGACGAGGTGGGTGTACCCTCACTTTACTCCACTAAACGCGACGCACCGATCGACTGTAGTGAACTCGTTTGTATCTCGAGGTGCACAGAAGCAGGAGGATAAAAATTAAAACGTCATCATCGTTCCATCAGCTGCGACAAAAAACCAGGCCGGCGACCAATGGTTTAAACATCCACTCTGCTAAGATATACTCCGCAGGAGCAGACTTTGGATTCAATCATCACTAATACCATGATCTACAATAAGCATAAACAGCTACACCCTTGTCATATTCATCATCATCATCCATAGTGAGGTTCATGGCTATTAATAATGAACGTACGTAATTATAACAAAAAACATTAGTGTGTTCTTCAATCTGCTGTTGAAACACAGAATGTTGATTGCAACGAATCAATGTTGCTGGAATAAAAGCGCTCCAAGAAGGCCGTGTCGCCGCTGGATTAGGCAAAAACAACTTGAATTAGAAAGGTTGAGTGAAAGACAAATTTGAAAGAGATTCATTGTGTGCTCATATATTTTTTTGTTACAAAAGAAAAAGTTGATACATTTTAGACGATGGATCGACTTCATATAATAACAACTCCATCTCGCGTATGTGTGTGAGTCACGTGTGGCTGTACAGAGCAGCAGTGCAGTGAGTGCAGGGCTGGCGCCTCGGCGTCCCTGCGACGCATCAGTGCCAGTCCCAGGGGTCACTGTGCAGCCAAATGTATTGCAGCTTCGTGAGGCTGTCGAAGGCGCCCTTGGGAACGGTCGTCAGCTGGTGACATTGGTCGGGTGTCTCCTCGTCCATCGATCCACATTACAGACACAGTGTACGTGGATGGCATATGCACATGCATGCAGGAACAAGCGAATCATGTAATCAATGTAGTCCACACTTAAGTACGTGTACATTACGCACATTTAAACGTACATACATATGTAGTGGGTTCGAATTAGGTGCACACACACGCAGCTTGGAGGCAACACTATTTATTAAACGGTAAGTAATATAACACTGTACATGAGGTGGTGACCACCTTCCTCAACTCACTAACACTCTGGAACGCGACACAGACTGGACCAGGCAGGCAACGGCCTGCCTGGCCCAGGACGACGACTCGGGACTTGACGACCGATGATGTCTTCACTTCGGAGTACAGTACAACAGCCTCGCTCTGCGTTCACACCACGCTTATATCTGCTTTGGCGTGGCCGGCTCCGCCCAGGCGTGGCTGGCTCTCTCCAGGCCACGCCTCCCTTCCCAGGACACGCCTCACTCCCCCCACCTCTGGGAAGGTCCGGATCCCTCCACCACGTGACCCCCCAGGCACCCCCTTGGGGCCCCCAGCCCTCGTACGGGCCGACACAGTAGTGACCGTTCTATGTCACTACACATACATACACAAACACACATACCTACATGCACACTTCTATACTCAATGTAGTGTTCTTGACGAACGTGAGTTGTTTTGATTACATCGAGTATAAACTCACGATCATTATATTGTATTATAACAAACGCGTAATGTTTCATCGTAATGATTCCATTTAGAAGAGCCACAGTTCCTTCAGACTCACGAGCTGATGGAACGCGCCAGCACCAATGGGTGTCAACTGATTCGGGTCCAGACCTCATTGAGCCAGTGTAGGCTACACTCAGTGGTGCATAAGCACACGTAACAAAACAAACTCAACACAACACAGTTTCAGTTTAATTTATTTGGTATCGCCATGTAAGCCATTCGGCTCTTGAACCGGATGCAACTGCAACAAACAAAAAATAAAAACATGAACAAAAAAACATCTTAAAGTGACTATGCGCAAACAGAAAAATCCAGGAAAAAACAGCAAAATCTTCCAGAAAAAGCACCGTACACCAACGCTGTGTGCAAAAATCCCAGTGGGATGCAAGTCAAACAACAACAACCACAAGACAAATTAGATTTAAGCCATCAGTTTAACTCCGTACTACAACAAACAAACATGGCTAAAGCAAATTTTTTTCGAAATCACCAAAATAAAGCCATAAAAGCAATGTAACAGTGATCATAGGAACTGTGACCGAAATTTCACAATAAACTACATAAACAACATGTACCACCAAACCCTGTAGCCATACCTGGCAGCATGAGTCACTCCATAACAGCAGGAGTATCAGTAAGAGTATCAACATTTTCCATTGCACCTCTAAAGATCAGCACACTATAATCAAAACTCAAGATCATACTTTGCAGCGGTCATCCGGAGCGATATATTTGATTTCAGGCCACTGAATACTAGTGGCAGCTAGGGTGTACAACTCCTCAAGAGCAGTTGTGAGTGAATATCTCACAGGTAGTGATCCAATTTGAAGTTTATTGGCGATAACATTCCAGACATTGGGGCATCAATAGCAAAGGCCCTTCCTCCAGTATTTGTACGGCAATAAGGAATGTGAAGCTGGTTGTGACCTTTGGTCACATTTGTTTTCGAAACAGTGAGGACATCTAGCAGGTAGTCTGCTGATTTTTTTGTAAGTACATCGTGATTAAATAAGATCTGATGCACAAGCCGTCGATCATTAAGAGATGTTAAGTTGGACCCAATGTAGAGATCGCAGTGGTGGGTCTTATATATGAAATTCAATGCAAATCTTAAGGCCGAGTGATAAATTTAGTGAAACTTTTTGAGTATAGTACTGGGGGATGATTTATATACGATGTCACAGTAATCAAGCAGAGGCAGTATGCTAGCTTTTATCAATTCCAAACGGAACATAGGGGGAAGCAGTGCTTGTGTCGATACAGAAAACCAATTTTTTATTTTGTCTTTTTACCAATATAATCAATGTGATCTTGAAAATTCAGTTTTGAATCAAGGATGACCCCAAGATAGCTACAGATCTTGACTTGCTCTATTTGATAATTATTTAAGGAATGTAATTGGGGGAAAATAACTTCATACTTTAGTCCTGGTGAGAAGCATAGCACCTTGGGTTTGGAGGTATTCAGGACTAGTTTAAGAGCAACTAGCTGATATTCATATTCTTAGGTTTTTTTCGGTAAAGTCACGTAGGTAAAACATCAAAATTAATGAAAATAAAATAAAATAAAACAAAAATCACGACGTTTCGGAGGCAACACAAGTCTCCGTCATCAGGTGGGACCGTCACAGCCGAATTAGCTGCATCAAGTGAGGCAATGATTCAAGATGTAATCCCTTATAAGCAAGTTGAAGGGGGGAGGAGAGGGGGGGGCTCATCAGAATGTGGTAGCCAATGAATGGAAACGTATCGGGAGGGAGGGGGGCGGGGCTCAAAGACAGCACGGAGTGCTCAACACATTAGGCAGAGAGGGGGAGGGGAGGCCTGATACACATGAAAGACAAAAGAACGAAAATGCCCATGTTTATACCAATGCTGGCTGAACAATGAAGAGAGTACTGTTAAAAAATAACTGGGAATGTTAACACTCGGTAAAGTAAAGTAAAATAGTGCCTGTCAGATAAGATGGTCCAAAAAAGTGTAATTAAGTCTTTTTTGCGTGGTTGATAACATCTTTCCAATGATTACTAAGTGTGTACCCATCATCACGGTTGAAATTATGTCTGTGTTTGTATATTTGTATGGCTTCGTGTACAAACCTTTGATGGTAGCCGGGAGGTTTCTCTACATAATTTCAACCGTGATGATGGGTACAAACTTAGTAATAATTGGAAAGATGTTATCAACCACGCAAAAAAGACTTAATTACACTTTTTTGGACCATCTTATCTGACAGGCACTATTTTACTTTACTTTACCGAGTGTTAACATTCCCAGTTATTTTTTAACAGTACTCTCTTCATTGTTCAGCCAGCATTGGTATAAACATGGGGCATTTTCGTTCTTTTGTCTTTCATGTGTATCAGGCCTCCCCTCCCCCTCTCTGCCTAATGTGTTGAGCACTCCGTGCTGTCTTTGAGCCCCGCCCCCCTCCCTCCCGATACGTTTCCATTCATTGGCTACCACATTCTGATGAGCCCCCCCCCCTCTCCTCCCCCCTTC